ATATATATATATATATATATATATATATATTTTGACAGTGGATTTTGCATGATGCACACTTTCACGAAAAGAAAAGATCAGGGCCCTTCGTTTAGTCAATCATAATTCATACAAGATTGAGATTACGCAATTTGTACGACGCTTGTGATAAACAGGCTACAAAATCTTGCGAGAGGCATGAGCTGGGCTCCCTTGGAGTGGAGTGAAAGGTGTTGAATATTATTTGAACGTTTGGGCAGTTGGGCCCGCGCTGGACAACGCATGTGAGCTTCTCAGATGATGATAAATCTTAGTTTCGATGTACATAGTGATGCACTGATGCCTCTTGCTTGATATCACTCCACCTCCACGAGAGTTACAGAAACGCCAGAAAGCAACAGTTCAAGAGAATGAAAGAGAAAATAGAAAATAATAAACCTTGGAAGCAATCAGAAGGAACTGATAAACACGATAGAGAGGAAAAAAAAACAAAAAGAGCTGGATGGAAAAGCTTAAGAAAATAGATAAACTAATTATTTATTCCAATTCAAAACTCCAAAGGGAATAAGGGAATAGATATATGTGGCAGCTTGGCATACCTTTTTCTTACATTCTTTAATTGTAATGAAGATTTTGTCGCTAGAATATACAGTAACATCTTGTCTTGGCCATAAGGGAGAATAAAAAAAACATAAAAGAAAAACTAGAGAGCAATTGGGGAAAGGAGTTAGAAGTTGGAACTTGGAAGGAGCAATTACTGAGGAGAGCACATGGTGGTGGGTTTGCGGGTTTCTGGATTAAGAAGGCAATTTAAGTGATGTATTACGGTCGATTCAACATTATGGGTCCGTTTGGTTTACCGTCTGAATTGGAACCAGAATTTATGGGAATGAGAATTGAAATAAATTGGAATTGGATTTCATTCTCAAAAGAGGGGAGAGAATGTTCATTCCCTCAATTATGAGAATGTCATTCTAAAAAAAAAAAAAGAGATTTTGATTCTACCCAACCAAATAATTTTCAGATTCTTATTTCCGATGAACCAAACGGGCCACCGTCGACGACTCGGACTCGGTATATAATATACTTCACAGACCGGTTTAATAATAGCTGAATTGGGCCAGTTGGGTGAGAAGAAAAAAAGCTTATATTTAATTTATGTCCTTTAAGATAAAGTTGTAAGAAGATTGAGAGTTCTTTATATATCGGCTGAAGCTGAAGCTGGTTTCAGACTTCACTCCTCAGCCTTCGGCTCGACTAGTGGTGAATGTGTAAGAAAGGGCACATGGTGTGAAGGAGTCGCCGATGTGACCGCCCAGGCTGCCACCGCAGGTGCCCATCACGCACCCTGCTTCACTTTTTAATCTGAGAGAGTTACAAGTAGGGCAATCTAGTTCAACTTTGGATTGGTAAAATAGGCGCAGTAGACAGTAGTAGTTTTTGCCTTGTTGGTGCCTCGGTGGGGACTGGGGAGACGGGAGAGTGGAGACTCAGCGAGTGTGCGTGAGGCTCGAGATGGGACCCATGTACGGTTAATAGCCCGGCGTGATACGTGGGCCGATGAATACGGACAACTGGGTCCCACCCCTACGTGGGAGTTGGGACGCTTGTTTTTGTTGAGAGTTCTCCTTTATTTGGCGGGTAACTTTTTTTTTTAGCTGCAGTGAAGATTGACTGGGATCCCCTCCCTCCTAACGTTCCCACCGTTCATCCCATAATTAAAACAACAAAAAAAAGATTAAGAAAAGTCGTCGAATCACGACCGCCGGAAACGGCACAACTTGCGATTGAAGTAAAGCTGTTTCGGACGGGCCTTTTTTCTCCCTTTCTTTGTCCACTTGTATTAATATCTGAGAGAAATACCCCTACTTTTCATAGAAACTGTTGTAAATATCATGAATGAAGAAATCCCACTACCCTAGGGACAATTTGGTAAAATGAGGTCGAATAACAATTAACAGAATAAGAGCAATGTCTCAGTTCAAACACGGACCGAGAATCCGCTTCCGTTATGTTCGACTTCTCTTTTACAACGTCAAATGTTTTTTCAAGTGAAATAAAAAATAAAAATATTTTATTATTTTTGGGAGAGTTAAAACTCTTTAACTTAACTCCACACAAGAATGCCACACTGCATTAATTACGTTGTAATAATTTCGTCCCCTGTCCCTGCGTTACATCCCACGCATCCTCCATAAGTAGCCCACCTTCCTCCCTTCTTCTCTTCATCCCATTACCAGCCTCCAGTCTCTCTTTCTCTTCTCTCTCCCTCTGCTACCACTTACAAGGGCGAGAAATGGCTACTCCCAGCGTGATTTCAAGTCTTTTACTTTTGCTCATCTCGTGTTTGATGCTTGTCGACGCCAGAATCCCTGGCGTTTATAGTGGAGGGCCATGGCAGAACGCCCATGCTACTTTCTACGGTGGGAGCGACGCCTCTGGAACTATGGGTATGTAAAGCAGATAACTACTGCCTCAACTGCTTTCTCGGTTTCTTCTCCTAATCCTATGAAGCCCTGCATTCATACTCCTGCAATGCGATACATTTTCCGTCACCTGTTAATTCTCCTCTTTTCCTAGTGTTGTTAGAACTCAGATCCTCGGTATTTTCATGTGTCTCTTTGTTTTTCAGTGCAGTAAATTCCAAGTTTCTTTGTGCATTCCCCCAGATGGACAGTTGGACACTAAAGTAATTCCATGGCTAATCCTAAGAAACCCGCCTCGTGTTCAGTTTCTTTTCCAAGCGAAGGAACTGCGTGTGGCTACTCATATTCCAACCATGACTGCTGCATACCCTTTGAGAATTCTGAGTATTAGTGCAGCGATCGACTAACATTTGGCCTTGACACTCCCCCAATCCTCTGTTACATGCCGTCTAGAGTTGCATTCTGATCAGCAAACCCATTAAACCAGTTCAAGACTTACATTATTGTGCAGATTTCACGGAATCTAGTTCCATTCTTTACCGCATTTTGTAGCGCAAAAACCCCCTTTGCTTTCTCCGCATTTCTCTTAAAAACATTGCGACCGCCGAAGTCATATTTTGACACTCTGGTTTCTCTCTGCAGGCGGAGCTTGTGGGTACGGCAACCTGTACAGCCAAGGCTATGGCGTGAACACAGCGGCACTGAGCACTGCCCTATTCAACAATGGCCTGAGCTGCGGTGCATGCTTCGAGATCAAATGCGCAAACGACCCTCAGTGGTGCCACCCCGGCGGCCCCTCCATTCTCATTACGGCTACCAACTTCTGTCCACCGAACTTCGCTCTCCCCAGCGACAACGGTGGTTGGTGCAATCCCCCTCGTCCTCACTTTGATCTGGCCATGCCCATGTTCCTAAAGATTGCTGAGTACCGTGCCGGTATCGTTCCCGTCGCATATCGAAGGTGAGCATCTAACATCTTTTCTCGCTTTGTTTTGACGCGTATGGGCCACATCCCTGTCTGGTCCCAAGCCCTATCCCCAAATCCCTTGCAGAGATTTTCACTCTTCGCCCTTTTCCCAAAACGTTTTATGTTATTCGAAATACCAAAAAAACCCAAACTCATCCGACAAAATGTCTAATTTCCACAGTCCTTCATCCTTCACGCCGATGACGTTTATCAGCATTTTCGATGGGTCGTCGATCTCGAAACTTCATCCTCTACGGCAATCGGAGGATAGTTTGCTACATGGGTCCCATATTTACGTAGCCGACTTGGTGTAATTTGGCTGGCCCAGTACTTGATAAGACTGTAGACATGCTTAGTTGCTTACCATATCTCCGCCTGGATCCTGCCCGATTTCTTGGGTCTAATCACGAAAACCCGAGGACCCGGAACGTTTGCTTGTTTTTTTGTCCCTGATTTATTTAAGGGAAAAAACAAGTGGGGGCCCAAGCCCGAGCAGTACAAGAATAGTTTGGTCGTAAATGTTAAGAAGGGTTTGTGTTTTTTATCTTTTAACCCTTCTCATTTCATGGCCCCCTCTCACTTTACTTTTGTAACCACGTTCCCACTGGCCCTTGTCGGGTATCAGAGAATGTGAACGGAAATGACTAAACTAGGGTTTTTTTTAAACGACAGGGTGCCATGCCGCAAGCACGGAGGAATCAGGTTTACAATCAACGGCTTCCGTTACTTCAACTTGGTCCTGGTCACCAACGTCGCCGGAGCAGGTGACATCGTGAAGGTGAGCGTGAAAGGATCGAACACAGGGTGGTTGACCATGAGCCGTAACTGGGGCCAGAACTGGCAATCAAACGCAGTCTTGGTAGGCCAGGCGCTTTCGTTCCGCATCACCGGCAGCGATCACCGCACCTCGACCTCGTGGAACGTCGCTCCAGCCAATTGGCAGTTCGGTCAAACCTTCACCGGGAAGAATTTCAGAGTCTAGGATTTCGTTAATTTTTTTTTTTTCAAAATTCCCGCGTCGGGAATTTTTATTTTATTTTTTACTTTGGCGCCATTTTAGATGCTGCTTTCCTTTTTTTATCTGGGAAGTTAAAAGTAATAGGGAAAAGGGGTGAGAGTAAAAAGGGTGTATGTGTAAGTGTTGGATATGTGAAGTGAAACTCTTTTTTTGACTTTCGATGGTGGGNTGGGGGGTATTTGTTTTATCACTTTTGTTAGTGGGTGATGCTCAATTGAAAAAGAAAACAGGAATGGTAGCGGCTGAGGTGGTTGCAAAAGCATGTAGCCCGCAGCTTTGCATCATAGATCATTTATATGTATTGTCTCAATAGTGTTGTTATATGAATGAATTAAGGAATGAATGGATTTAGTTGTATATTTATGGTGTACCTTCTTTACTAATTTCCGTCTGAATAATATTATAGAGAGAAGGGAAAACACAGCAAAGGGTACTCTTCTCAGTTGTCATCCAAATTTGGGGAGAAGAGAGGGTGGAGTGCAGTTGTCCAGGGAGGAGGGAATCCTCAAAATTTTATCTTTTTCTGAAGTTTGGTTGCAGGCAGCTGGGGAGTGGGGGATGGGAAGACAGAGCACATGGAGGGACCAAGGAGGCATCACATTTTTTGGCGGGTCCGTCTGTTTCAAATTAATTAACATTTATCTGACGCCCAATGTCATGCTATTCTGTCAAATCTGTCCCTATTGCCTCGCCTCTATCTACACAAAACAATGATCCAGTCAATCAATCTCTGTAATCAATGAGAACCAAATTCTAACCCAAGTAATTTAAACAAGGATAAGATAAACCGCTCATATTGGCCTCTCGGTTATACAAAATAAAGTTAAGGGAGTGAGCAGTGTGAAGGTACAATTTAACCTCCCATTCAGCCCAAGTTTTGGAATCCAATGAACTAACTGGAGGATGTCCTCCACCCAACTTAGGTTACATAATGAATGTTGGGAGGTTGACAAGATAAAACGTACTACACATACTGGTGTTCGGTAACTTTTGTCGCAGTTCGCCATTCTTTTCTGACAACCGTTTTGGATTTTTGCGGTTTTTTTAATGATAAAATATAGAGGCCTAGAGTCTGCTTCGATGCGATGATAAAAACTTCAGGGTCGAGAATGCGGTTTCAACCCTGAGAATGACCATTTTGTGTTAAAATTATCATAACCTGAATATGGGGTTGGTGTTGTCCAGTTCATCTCATAAAGCTTCGTTAGATTTTGGACCGGATTGGATGGTTGCATCATCAGAACGGAGAATGACGGTTTAAGCCTGGGCCAGAATTTTTAGGCCCAAATTACCATGGTTTTCAAAATTGGACCGAATTGGACGGTCGGATCGGAAAAACTGGGAACCAGTCACCCATTTTTCTTCAAAACCGCTTTTTTTTCTTAAAACCACTGATTTTGGTCAGCAAACTGCTGAACCGGCTGATTAATTGTTCAAACCGTTTTTAATTTTTTTCTTAATTTTTTTAATTTTTTTTGTTAGAATGGATTGATTGTTCGGGTTGAACAGTCGGACCGTTCTACCGGTAATCGGACCCTTGACTGATTCGGTTATAAAATTCATGCGAAGGACATTTAGAGTAGGTGCCAACTTGAAATGGTATTGATATATAAAATAGAGGTATTTGACATTTTAAATGTTTATAGATCTACAATGAAATTCACAAATTTGCAATGAGCCTGTTCATGCCTTTTCATTTGGATTGTCTGAGTCTTAAAAATGCTAACTGTCAAATGTCTTTTCTTGAGTCCAAGAAAGGTACATTTACTACTATAGTACTATTTGCTTCATATTAAATTTCAGATCTCAACAAATCACTGCATTCACCGTTCACATGTTTTATCGTTTTGTACATACCATTAAAATTTTAATAATGTTAAAAGATTTTTTGTGACGTAGGGATGTGTGTTTTTATCACTGGTTTATGTCTTCAATATACAAAAACTTATTAGAAAATTCTTTAGGTTGCGCTTGATTGAGGTGCAAATATGAATCGATGTAAAATTCAATCGTCAGTTTGCATTTATATTTGTTTGTTTTTGGTGTAAAAGCAGACCCGTGTAAAATTTTACATCCGGTCAACTTTTGCAGTCATTTGTTTTTCATCTAAAAATTATATTGTAAATTGATGTAAATGATACATCAATAAAATTGGTATGCTTTTACATTCATTCTCACTTAAAAATTCTCATAATTTTAAACCGACTGACTTTTACACAGTTAATTTTTCCACCACATTAAACACAACCTTAAAAATTTCTGTTAATTTCTTTTTCTGTATTTTAAAAATAGGCTCTTACCATAAATATGGCCTCTTAAGATAACCCATCAATATCAGCCATCAAAATGATGTAGGCGTACCAAATTTCCAACACTGTCATCACCTTCATCTCCTCCATCTCCATCATTGCCCATGCTCACCTGTTTGATCTCTCCCTTCATCCCCGTCCTCTTTTCCACTATCATTTCTACCTTCTCCCTACATTGTTTTTTTCACTACCATCTCACTGTTTTCCTTTGGATAGACTGATAATTCATATTTAATTGGATCAGCCAGTCCAAATTAATTATGGGATTGGAATGGACCTGGTCCATCCATCCTTAATGATTTATATTGAATTGGATCGGATTGAACTAATATCCAGTCCATTGATAGAAGATAAAAATACTGGTATTAATGGACCAATATTTAGGTCGAAACCAATCTAAATTAAAATTAATTTGAACAGATTGAATTGAATGGTCTAAATATTGAATTAAACTGATTCAAAATAGTCCAGAGTAGATTGGATTGGACTTGGTCCATCTATAATGAATTCATATTGAACCGGATTAGATTGCTCCAAATCTGGTCAAATGGACACCCTTAGTCATAACGACCTATATCATTTCTTCATGCTCTCTTTTGATTTTTCTTTTAAATAACATACTCTCACTTACAATTAACCCACTTAATTAGGAATTTAACATTTGATATAAGTTCTGGGTAACCAAGTCTCAGCGCCAAGTGTGAAACTAGGTACCCCCCTAACATACATACATGATAAATGGGAAAGTGTTTCAGCTCCCTTAAGATGGCTGGTGTCAAATACCTTTCTTATATAGTCTCCGTGTCTTCGATTATTTATTAGTTGCTTGTGAGGGATGGCAGATCGATGCCTATTACTATAATGGCTGAGTAATTCATGACACTTAAATTGTGAATAAATAGCAGATGCTGACGACTGATAATGGTATCACTAGACACAGCTCACAGCCACAACCAATTGTTTGTTTTTGTGGGTGGGGGTGGCTCACGGCTCACGGGTAGGATAGTGATTCCTGGTAACCGAAACCATAGGGAACCCAGCCTAATCAACTTGTTCGAAATTTGACCAAGTATCTGTCTATCTGACCTCATTGTTCCCTCAAATCAACTAATTTGTTCTTGGCTTGGCCCCATTTATAATCTTGACTGCCCAGTCAAAAACTAACCACAATTCCCAACCTGTTTTAATTTGTTGTTATCGTTGTTGATGGGTGAGGCTTGGGTCTTCTGATTCATTGCAGCCAATTGAGTTAGCACTTAGCAGTGCGCCTGATTTTGGCTAAAGTCTTTATCGAGAATTTAACTTACGGTTTGGCCGGGCGGTCATGGATCGTTGTGGTTGTTCTCGCAGTCGATGGGGTTTAATAACTTGTCTGACAAGTGGTAGTGGTCTAGCTACGCCTACTCTATATTGAATTCCCATTACTGTTTCCCTCATTTTGGGAGATTGAACAAAAATTGCAAACAATCAGAATCGGAGTTAACAATTTAATTAATGGAGATGAGGTTGAGGTGGTTGTACAATGTGCGAGCATTGAGATCATCAGCCAGAGCCAGCCCTCCCGTTGATGCTATAGCTAGGTTTGGAAGAATTGCTCCAACATCCAAAGAGCAGCTGGGTCATCCCATCCGTTGGGGAATGGGGAAAGGTCTCAGTCAACATTTTTTATGACCCCCCTGACCCTCTGACCACTTGTTATTTTGGGTACCATCAACCGGTCATCTCGTCTACCAAGATTCAAACTTCAAACCAAAAACAATTACCACTTCTTTCCTTTTCTTACTTTTTTTTTTTTTTTGCCTCGATTTGCTCACCACCATTTAGGAGTGTCATCTCGTCTATCAACATTAGTACCTTGAATTTTGGGGTATTGTCAAGTTAGTTAGTCTCTGCCGTCAATCGTCAATTATCTGTTTAAAATGTTAAAATTATTGTCTTTAATCTTTAAAATTATTGAGGTATTTGAGATTTTAGACTAATAAAATTATTGTCTTTTATTTTTAAATCTGAAATATATTTTTGTCTAATTATTCCTTTTTATTTAGCTATTGTTTTCCTTTATTATATTTTTTGTTTTTTTCTCTCTTCTTGAAGATAACGGGTTCAATTTCAAGGTAGAAGGCAATGACCATGGTTTTTAAAACTGACCTGGAGATTGAACTGGTCAAAGGTCCGATTATCGGGTCAAACGGTCCGATCGTTTCCGTTCTGACAAAAAAACAACAAAACTTAGAAAGAAATAAAAAAAATGAAAACCGATCAAAACCGTTTGAACGATTAACTGCCTGGGTTAGTGTTTTGCTGACCAAAATCATCAGTTTTTATGGAAAATCCGGTTTTGGAAAAAAACCGGAACTAGTCACTCTGACCATTTGGTCCGGTCCGTTCTTGAAAATCACGCAATGAACAATATCCTTTTTTGAAGAATAATTTTGATACTTTAAACAAATAACTGGTCAGTTAACAGCTGGGACCAATTTGACACCTCTCAAAAATTTAAGCATTATAGTGATACATTTGAAAGTTCTACCCTCCAAAGTTCCAAAGGTAAGGACACTAAAGTGGAACTTATTAGCTGCATTGGGGCCATGATATTCCCTGCATGGGCATGTAATGTTAATCATTCAAAGATGCCTAAAGTCGAAATAGCCGTGTTTTGCGGAGTTTGAATCCAAGAACTGAAGAACATGTTTTGGATGGTTGTAACGCTCGGGACCGGGACCGGCCCGGCCAATATATGATGATGGTCCTCCTCGGGGACCGGCAGCTTGGCTTGGCTTACCATTTTTCATCACCCCCATAAACAAATCCAGGTCCAGGGCTCCCACTCCCAGCTAAATAGCTCAATGTAAAGAGGCCCATGAACATGAAGATCACTAGCATCTGATCCGTCTTAAACCTGTCCTAGGCTCCTTGTATTTTGTGGGCCACCTTTGAGTCCAACTTAATTACACTAGCCAGCCAATACTTGTTTGGTACCAAAAAGCATTTACACTTGGGAATGGGAATGAAACTAGTGAAAAAGAGTGCGAGCTAGTGCTTCCCTTAGCCCCTTTTATTACATGTACTAGTGCAAAAGAAGCCATGATCAACGACTGACGACCCATATGTTTTTTTGTTCTGTCAACTTTTCTGAATTCTGAGTAGCAAAGCCAAACACGTCCTTTGATATCATACTTTATTTGCTAAATCACTTTCTTTGGATGACTTTGCTGCACTCTGCCGGGGTTTCCTGCTGCTTTGTGATTTCTAAGAGATTAGGCTTGACCAGACGGACCAGACACAATGTTTAAAGTGGAGCAGCACTGACCCTGACAAATACCTTAAACTGTTTACTTTATGTCCCTCCACGACCATCCTCATCCTGATACTGACCCAAAAGCCAAAAGGGTCCGATGGGTGTAACGAACTGGAGCTGAGATGGGGCAGAGACAGCTCCAGCTCCAGTTGAGATGGGTCGTTTGGTACTTCTCCATTCTTCCACAGCCCATTCGCAAATTACACGCTATCATAGTAGTGCATGTGACGCATACGGTTCTGTATTCATTATTGAGGGCGGGCCGCAGAGATCTTGTGAGATCAAAGTTGATACGGTCAGATGATTGATGGGTCTATTTCATTATATGTTTGGACTTTGGAGTGGTCTCATACTGACCAAACGCTCTCCTACATAAAATGCTTATTAATTACGCGGTTGGGACCTGCAGGTAATGGGATCCTCCCATTCAGTCCCGTCATTCTTCACACCAGTCTCACTCACATTTTAATTTGGAAATTTAGTTACATTCTCTCGTCTCTTATTGTTTTATTGGCCATTAAACCAAATTCTGCAAACTTTTAGTCGTTTCCCCTCACATTTGAGCATAATGCCATCAACATGCTTCGTAGAACCCAAAGACAGAGAGCATTTTATAAAATAGCAAAGATTTTTCGTCTGATCCGTCCAGAGATATAGAGAGAGAGAGAGAGAGGTATAAATGAATACGTGTAATCTGCTTTACCCCACCCCCACCGTATCATATCTACTGAATATTGATTGAGTAAAGCTGAGGTTAATGTGGGACCTACACCGGATTGATGTCCCATATTATATTTCGTGTCACATAAACTCTCATCTTATGTAACGAATCTGTGTCATTCATCATTCATAAGGTAGTCTGTGGTCAGGTTCTTTGTCTTTCATTGAGAGGGAAAAAGAGAGTCTATTGGTGATAATATTCCCTGGCTGTAGTTGGACTTGTCAAATTAATAATGTTTGAATGATCATCGAATGTGAATAAATGCTTCCACAACTGCGTTTCTTTAGCAAGCTTATCAGATACATGTTTTAAGGGTTTGCTGCTCTCTTGGGTTCTCAGTAGAAAGCTGGGATAAGGTTTGCCTTTTCTGTAGAATTTTCATGTGCAATCCAATTAACATTTCAGTGCATAGCGCATATAGTAGCGTTTACATTATTGATGAAGTGGCTTGTTTAGCTTTGGTGCCTTAATAGCGGGCAGGATATGGTTAGGTATTAATTAGGGGAAGATGGAAGGACAGAGGTCTTCTTCATATGGTACAAGAATTCACCAACATCCTCCATGGGTTCAAACCGGATTAGTTACAAGTTGGTTTCGTCTTAACTCTTTCCCCATTTCCCCATTTCATTGCTCAAGGAATTTCCTCCAAGCAACCAACACTGCCTCAGTCTAAGTCACCCAACTTCCTTGAAAAAGAGGACGAGCTTTTCATTAGTCCACCATGTCGGTTTTGTCCTGTAGTGTGTTTTCTTTAGCGGTGCTGAAGATGCATGATTGCTGCACACTGCGTTGCTTGTTGGAATTGCTCTAAACTTACCAACGTGGCCAAAGTAGGGGTAAAGCTTGAGCTGCCCCAGTCTGGGTCTAAATTGATCCAGTTGGCAATTTTATATGGGCTGGGCTTATATTTTTTTGTCCTTGGATTGGACCTGGTCCTAATCCTTAATTACCCTGAGCCCAATCTTAACTTTAACTCAATACAATTGTCAACAGCTGGGCCTGGATTGGACATATTGGATTGACCTTTGGCTCGGGCTTAAGCCCAATTGTTAGGGTTGGGCTTAGGTTCAATTAAATCCATCCCAACCCGCCCAACATGCACCCCAAGGAAAAGGGCTTTGTCCATGCTCTGAGCCAAGACCTGATACAACTTAGGCTTGTCCGGTCCAGCCCAAGAGCGTCCATTCACAGGCCTGAGACCACGGCCTAGTTTTGTTATGTTACACATATATCGTGTTTCAAAATGATTTATATGGAAAGACCGATGCCATGATTATATAGAACTGAGGTTTAGATCAGGATGGAAGGCCTTGCAAAGAAACCATTGGATTGAAATCTTCTGTTACGTATATACATGAATTTTGAAAACAAACAAAATTCATGTTGCAACACTGAGGTTTAGATCCGAATCTAGGACGCACTAGCAACTACTACCTGTCGTTCGTTCAAAAGCTGCAAAAACAAACAAAAATTACAAGAGGAAAGCCGGTGTTATACATTACCACAACAATGCAGAAAATGAGAGAGAGAGAGAGAGAGAGAGTCACTTGTTGCAGTTGACATCTGGAGTAATTGTCACTTTGAGGTTGAGTTTGCACTGTAAGGGAAGTTGCTTTGCTCTCTCGAGCTGAAATCCCAAAGATGGTGCAGTCTGCTTCAGGCACTGACAGAGATCCCTTCGTGAAGATTTGGTGGCTGCCAACTTATTCAGAGCTCGAGCACTATTGCAACACTGCACACTAGGATTCAGCCCTCCCATCCCCATCAAATAAGCTTCACAAGGGATTAGCCTGGACACCGCATCGCCACAGGAGATCCCGGTCGCGGGGCTCACCAGCAATGCAAGAACTCCTAAGCACCAAACCCATGTAGAAGTATAACCCACCATTTTCTTATCTGTCTTCACACCTCAATCATCCCTTTCTGTTTCACTCTTCTTCCTTTTGAGTTTTGATATTGAAGGCGACACCACATGGTGTTTATATGTATAGGCTAAAGAATGAAAAACTTGGGTTTGACCTCTTAAATGACCCCAGTTCATTTCATCTTGAATGTAGAGGAGGTTGGTAGTGTAATAATAAAAGGTCGGGTACCCTTAATCAAGAACTTGCATCTTCTTTTCTGATGTCTTTCTGACTACTGATAAAAGTACTTCAGGCCAGCTCGATCTGCACTTGTCTTGTGTCTTCTTAGTCCTGTTAAATGAATTACTAGTTTTGATATGCCATCTTCTCATTTAGGGAATGTTGATATTGGCGAATGCCACCTTGATTATTATATTAATTAATGTCTAAGTTAATTTTAAAGAAACATTAGTTAGAAAAACCCTAGCTGTGCAAGCAGCATTTCTTGTATATAGCTCTTTATTACAACCTAATCTTTAATATTCATTAATCCTGATCTTAGCGAATTAAAAGGCAAAGAGGGCCAACAGACTTCTAGTATATGTATTCTAAATGTTTTCGATACTCTTGGTCATTTGGCATTGCCCATATCTTTGAATACAATCCTTGAGAGAAATAAGTTGGTTAACATCATTAAAACCCATCGACGTCGAGTATACTTATAAGGCAATATCTGCATGGGTGCTAAGTTGACACTTCGAGTCAGAAAGTAGGTAAGCTCCTCTACTGATCAATCCTGACAAGCATCTATATTGCACAATAAATAATGAACCGTATTTTTCACTGTTAGAGATCTAAATAAAATTGCAGTCAGGCATCTGATCACCATAACGGCTTAAGCTTTTACCAGAGCCCGTTTGGTAACTGCTTAATATCTAAACCTCAGACAGTAGAGACTATATAGAAGAAAACAACGACAATTACACATAAAGGAGGATTTAAGTACCCAAAACCCGGCCATTAACAAAGTTTGCTTGCACGAGTACTGATGAAATCAAATGATCCAACCCCAAAATCCACCTCTTAATGATCGCCAGATTGTAATTAATTAATAAGGAGTTGAGTTTCTTCTGCTAACTGCCATGTTTAATCTGTGAAGTGATTTGATTTGGTTCCATTGACTCCATCTATCTCTACTGTTTTTGTGTCCGTCCGATTTAGTCGTAGAGGTCAAACCTTCAAAGTCTTTCAAATTTGTTTCTATTTCTTGTTCTTACATAAGCTCTGCAAATTGGATCATTTAGGCACAGCATTATATTCTTATTTTGATGCAATCGACAGGGGGTTATTCCTTCCACGATAATCAATCAAGCTCGTTGGTCTCATCTTTGAGAGAAAACAGTATGGTTACCGTCTCCAAATCTGGGTGGTGGTTGTAATTAAAAGGGATGAATAGTAAATCTGTTGGCTCACCAATCAAGGGTATGTTGAAAGAGTGTAGTAAATCTGATAGTGCTAATATCAGATTGTGAAGCGGGAAAACAAGGTATATGTTGAAAGAGTGTAGTAAATCTGATAGTGATAATCAATCTGTTGGCTCACCATCAAAAGGGGAAGAAACCAAAGAGGGAACATTGTGAAGCGGGAAAACAAGGTATATGTTGAAAGAGTGTAGTAAATCTGATAGAGCTAATATCAGATTGTGAAGAGACATCATATGAATATGAAACACCACTTGTTAGTTGTTACGTTATTGGGTTAGTTGGAAGAGTAGTAAATCTGATAGTGCTAATATCTCCTCCCGATCTTGAACTGTACCCTCATGGGCTTGTTACTATATTAATTTTCTGTGATGAAGGTATTAGTACCTCAAATATGATTAGTTCAAATGGTTTTTGGTGCGGGTGCTTTCTTGGTGCAGCTGGCTGTTTTCCTTCCACTGGTCATTGAGAAGAAGTTGAATTATACTGATGGCGATTTATAAATCTCATGTGAAAGCTAAAAGAAATGAATTGGACGAGGGTGTGGCTCTATTTTTCTGATGATTTGGTTGTTGTGAACTTGTGATGGCTTTGGAGTCGTCATTTGCATCTCTTTCTTACAGTCGTTGTCTTACTTGGATAGATCATATTCATATTTCGTCTCTGTGCAGCAGGGAGCAGCTGGGCCTTTTGAGTTTTGCTTTGTGAATGGGAGCCTAATAAATGCTCCAGGCTCCAGCCCATAAACTAGTTCAACATTGGCAAAACCCAGAATTCTCAAAATATTTTAATTTTTGCCAAAACAAAACCCTCGGACTCAGAATTGGGGATTCAAATAAAAATAGAACGCCGTCTGTGTGAATCGAACCCACGAACACGTGGTTAAAAGCCACGCGCTCTACGGGCTGAGCTAAGACGGCTGACGATTGTTATTGTCTATTTTATAGTTCTTATTCTATTAAAATAATAAAATTGCCAAGATAGAAAATACTAATTTTAAATGTTTTTCTATAATTCAACTTGGGTTAGTTGCGACGTCGAAAGGATAATTGATCACAAACGTCGAAGTGATCCAATAGACTTGCCACTACCTTGTTCAGTTGTTCACCTATTTTCTTTGCATTCTGGTCCTCACGCGAGATTCTATAGTTATATTTTCTTCTGTCTAAGTTGCTTCTTTAGGCCGTCTACTGTTTCTTCTTCACAAATATGGGAATCAATCGATAGCTTTGGAACATCAGATCATAATTAAAAGTAGTTCCGATTGTTGTGAATTGTGATGAATGAACACCACTGTAGAGTTGCATCTCAAATATAAGAGAGGCTCTCATCCATTTTTCAATCAATAAAAAAAAATCAGATACTATTATTATTATTATTCAAGGGATTTTTATTTTTAACTTTTTTTTTGACAAACTGATCTTACAAGTACAACCCATCCAATTGTGGGCTCCAACGCTTAATTGAACCATGCAACAACAAGTAGAAAAGAAAACCATGGAGGCCCATGCATCCTGTATCCCCATCAGGCCTTAGCCAAATAACCAATCTAGCCATATATTAATGATGATGAGGTGCAACCTGTTTATATTTGATAGTTGTCCTTCAACATACACTAGCCATTAATTACAAGAAACCGATTACAATTTTTGAGAGGATTAATTTTTATATAATTTTTCTATTGGTGCTCCAATCTCATCTCTCTGTCTGCATAAATATCATATTGGATTTTATTGAAAAGAATACACACAGCATTGTTCTTAATGACAATCATATCTGGACTCTATAATAAGAAATCATGTTTACAAGGAGCTTTGTTTCCATCCACCCTGACCTTCGTAATTTTCATCTTCCACCTAAAAAGATAAAAAAAGAAAAAATGATAAATTGTAATTTTAGTGTCCAAAGCAAAGCATTAGATGAATAATTTCTGTTTCTGCACAAGCCACGATGCACCGGTGAATGCAATATTTTTCAATGTAATGTTTTTATTTGAAACATTTAGGGTTTATCAATACAAATTGATGAGAAATATGTATTATCACATCACATCACATATGAGAGTGAGTCCAACTAGATGATTAGACTCCGCTCCGTGGAGCAAGAAGTGCATATATATTTTTAAGGTTTGCTTGTTTCAAGTATGAACAGTTTCAAGTAACATCTGTATTTATCAATCCAAAACGTTTCTGATAGAAACAGTAATACCAAAAACAACAACATATAGGTTGGTCCTGGGTGCATAATTATACCTTCTTGGTGAAACTGACGCCCACCCGAATCTCTCCCTCGTAGGTCTTATCGGCGAGCACAAGCCTATATTTGCGGGGTGGAAGCTCGGCCTTTCCCACGTCAATGCCCAGAGACAGTACATCCTTTATGTAGATTCTGTATATCCATAATTAAACTTAGAACCACTTTCCGTTTATTTGTTTATTAACAAAATTTCTTTATGAACATTTATTTATATGGTGATTATTAAAATCAGGTATTTGATATGCATTCACCAAATGGGTATGAATCTGATGGTTGTTTCATCTCTACGTGGATACTTACCAAATATCAATGAATGGATGTTTATTTACTCTTTTTTTGGTGATTATTTGCTAAAACACCCCTATAGTTTTCAACCAAATTGCTTAATCGACTTTTAAGGGAGTGAAAGTGATGGCTTTAATCCTAATGTCTGTTTAAACAACTTTAAACAAAAGAAACCCACTCCACTGATCAATTTGGTTCTCTGTTTGAAGATGGAAGAAACGATGTTGTAGATGACGAGCCTATATGCCATTATTTTCTCTTATTCATTGTGATAAAGCCAAACATTGTTGGTAGATTTGAAACCAAACATGATTTCTTTCTAAGAACTTGATAAGAAGTGCTTTCAAAATAAACAACCATGGGACCTTACCCTTAAATATTTTTCACTTGATTTAGGTAGTGGCGTGATCATTTCTAGATGGCAATATGCATGGATCTTAATGGAAGGTTAAATAAATCTTTGGGAAATCGTCTAAAACTCACCATCTGTTTTCAATATTTCTCTTAAATTCAGTACAAATTTTCAAAATTTCTAAAATTCACCATGTCACTAACTTGACATTAAACAGACTTATGGTGTTAATATATTACCATTTTAACCTTCATAGAAAAATATAAAATATATACTTATATATTTTAATATTTAGACATAAAAAAGGAAAAGTTCAAAAAATATTTTCAAATATAAAATACATAAAAAAACAGAAATTACAAAAAATATAACAAATATAGAAATTTGAAACAAAATAAAAATTATTTTCAAATTATAGAAACTATAGAAATTGACAAACAAAATAAGAATGTAAAATTGTAGAAAATACACCAAAAATTATAGAAAAACACAGAAATTGCAAATAAATAACAAAAAATACAGGAACAATTATAGATTGTAGAAAATAGAAAAATGTAAAAAAAAATAGAAATTATAAAAAACACTGAAAAATATAACAAAACAATAAAAATGCAAAAAAAAAAAAACAAGAAAACTGAAAACTGAAAAGACCATTTTCTTCTAACTCACCAATCAAGGGTAATTTGGTTATGAAAGTTGTTATTTATGCTGAAGTGGACACCTCTGTTAAGAAGCATTAATGGTGCACTAACGGAAGGTGAGTTTTAGAAAATAAAAATTTACTGACATGGTGAGTTTTAGACATTTTGAAAAATTGTGGTGAGTTTAAGAGAAATGCTGAAAACTCATGGTGAGTTTTATGCAAATTCGCTAAATATTTTTGTAAGCTATAGAGGGTGTATTAATAAATGCAAGCAATAGGGTGGGTTTTAATAAACCCATGAAACTGTAGGAGATGTTTTAGCAAATGACTCATATTTTAAATTTTATTCATTGAACATTGAAGAAGAATAATCAGTGGGCTGCATTTAGTTCCTTAGGCTCAATTTGGAAGGAGTACAAATACAAATACAAATATGTACAGTGCAGATACATACAAAATACAAGGTTTTGCATTTGTGTTTGTACTCCTCAGAAAAAGGCTCAAGAGTATAAATACAAATATAAATCAGGCTTAATTTGCAAGAAGTACAAATACACATGTGTAGAATGCAAAATCTTGTATTTTGTATTATTTTATTTGTACTCTTTCCAAACTGTAAGTGTGAGGAAGGAATAGGCTATCTAACGTAGACAATCTTTCTTGGAATTGGAACCCTAGATTTTATATACAAGATAAACCTTAGAGTAATTGAAAAATCTGAAACGATCAGTTGATTATGTCCATTTTAAAACTTAAAGTAGCTTGGGTATGGCTACTTGAAGAGTGAAATGAATAAGAATGAAATCTCTATTTCTTTGTGTAAGAAATCAGTAAATTACCTACAGAAGAACGATATGGGAGGCGGTTTGTTCTAACCACGCCATGACAACTATACATACAGCATAAAACGTTCTACGTCTTCCATATATTTGCGTAAAGATCACAATTAAGGGACTAAGGAAACCTTCAAAGGTGGGCTGAAATCAATACTGTCTTCAACTACTTAAAAACATGAATTCATGTTTGCGAGGACTCTGTTTGTACCTTTCCTGCATTATAATCTTTTATACATATATAACCTTTTATCATTGCTTAGAGCTAGATTGTAATGTCAAATTAAAACAGTTGGGCAGCGGCCAATTGATCTTTGTGGGAGGTTGAAATGGTCAACTGAGAAGCAGGGTTTGGGTGAGTTGGAGGGAGGGTCTAAGCAAGGAGGTCAATCTAATTTAATTACGAGCCCATTTTTCTTTCAAGTTTCAATAAGCTGATAATCATCATTTACATGATTTCACTTACGTTGATTCACCGACGAAGTCATCGGCGGTGAACGTATCCTTGTCCATGACTGTGAGGGTTAGCTTGTGTGGGCCAACAACTTTCCCTGGATACTCCGCCTTGAATGTAAATTTCTCGTTCCATACAGGATTCCTGCCTTGTCCTGCATGCATTTCAAATCCTCATTTCGATCAGTACCAATACCATCTTTCGATTTTATACACCTCTCTCTCTCTCTCACATACACAGACTTAATTAAGAAAGGAGAATATCTAGCTATGTAAATTGATGATGTCTCACTGACGTCGAGCAACGGAACTCTTGCGCTCTTCCTTTCCATATTTTATGACAACATATGGGTCCATCTTAGCTGCAAGATTAAACCTGATCTTAGAGGAATGGAATATATGAAAGATTTGAACCGAATAATCTTAAAACAAAGTGGCAAAGCCAAAGCTAAAACTCGAAATCTAACACTAAAATACTGCAAATAATGAATGACTACATACCAAAAAGATCTTTATTTTGCATGCAATGCGCATCCACGAGCAGCACCTGTAGTATCCCACTAGCCATCTCTATGTTCACTCTCGATCGATAGCTTCAACAAAATTAAAACAGGGAAGGCGAAGAAGAAGAAGAAGACGAGGTGCAGCAGGGGCTCGAATAAAATTTCCAAAATCGTGTATCTCCGTTATGCAAATATGCCGAAGCTCTGTGTGTGCTCGACGGTTTTATATTACAAGAACGGGCTCCTGCAAGTAGTGGATCTTTCTTAACGGCGAGAGACAACTGAGTCTTGCCGTCTTCGAAGTCGTCGCGTTATCTAGAGAAGACTGGACCCGGTTCTAGTTTCTCCACATTCACACACACACACACCCAAATTTGACGTTGGGCGTGTGTATACACTCTGATACACGTCCACCTCTATCTAACGTATGTACACGGAAGATCAAATGAAGATCTCTATCAAAATTGATTACGTCGAAATGGAGAAGAGCTGAACGGGGAGGCGGGGGTCAAACCTGTATTTACGATACAAGCAACAAAATAATAAATAATCAATTCGGGGGTGTTATTCAATGTGATTTGTTTTCGTCGTGAGTTTTAAAATTGAAAACAAATTGTTTCTTGGGAAACATCTTATTGGTTGGAAATGTATTTTTTTTTTCTAAAACAAAAACCAAAATCAAGTTTTTGAATTTTTGGTTTGAAAAGCATGCATGGTTTTTTTAAATCGTGGAATATTTCATCATCTTTCATAAATCATACAGTTCAACATTGTTTTTGTTTTAAAAAACATCGTTTTGATTGTTTCAGAAGGTGCTCTACGACATGAATGCTTTTTGTTTTTATTTGTCATGAAATCATCACATCAGCAAAAACAAAAAACTCATTCTTGAACTCTGTTTTTTTGCTTTAAAAGGTAAAAATAAGTTGGTTTTGTTTTGTTTTTTTTTTTAAACAATACATGCATGTTTTTAAATGATCAAAATAATGTTTTTTTTAAAACAAAAAAAATTGTGTGGTGTAGAAATTATTTGATTTATGAAACATTGTATTAACTAACCAGATGAAAACAGGTTCTTCGAACCAGAAATTGAAGAATGTGTTTTCGGTTTCAGTTTTGGAAACAAAAAACATACATATAACCAAAAACATGTTTTCTATGTTTTTGGTTTTAAGAACCACTTAGCTTCCAAACAAGCTTGTTTTGTTTGTTTTTTTGCTTTCTGGAACTGGGAAAAAAAATCACATTAGAGAACACCATTTCAAAAACATGAGTTATTTTTTGAAGCAAAAACCAACTTGTGGAACACCCCCTTAATTTTTGTGAGAGGATTTCCTAAAAGCAAAATCTATGTGTAGACTCTGAAAACACAACAATCAGATGCACAACCAAAATATCTCTCCATAAATTCAATATACAAGTATAGAAGATATTCCTTATATGTGGCAGTGGCTAGATGCTTTGCTCTTACAATTTTCTTATGGTTTTTGCTTTCTGGATATCCAGGGTCTTGATCTTCATCTAATAAGAAGTTTTTAAAGCATTTTTGTAAGCTTTAAAGTTTGCTTGCTTGGTGAGTTGGTGTGAATAAAACATGGTGGCCGCCATGTGGAATGTGACTTTAAGTGAAACCATAACAAAATAACTGTATAATGAATGGCCTGGTCTACACATACATCCAGCTTGGGATTAATTTCATGTTCATTGTTTTGGAGTTAAGCCAAGCAAGTAATTAGGTCAATTGCAAAAGTCTAGTTTTATTTAATTTATTTCCTTCCGAGAAATTTCTTCCTTTACTAATGTCGATAGTTATTATGACCGAGATCTTTATCTTCTAGTCCTAACTATGATATTTAAATAGTTCAAAGTTTAGACGTGGTCATGATCATCACTCATGGTCCATGATCATGACTTAGACAAAGGCCCCTTTTTAACTCCTTTTCAATAGGGAGAGAGGGGTTTCAGAAAAATCATTTTGCCACGTCGTGGGGGCACAAGTTGTAAGCCAATAAATGCTCACCGCGCTGTACAGAAATCAGTACAGCTATCAAAATGATTGTGGAAGTAGTTAAATTACCAACTCATGGTGTGTTTGCATGAAGGCGGGTAGACAAGAAGACTTGCATGCAAAATGATAGATGTTTCCTGGAAGAAACTCTCTACCCAGAATTCAAGTATTTCTAGGACTCTACTACGTACTAGGAATTTTGTGGAACTATTATCATATATTTTCCCTCGTTTGGCTTGAATATGGTTGAGGTTGACAAAGAAATTAATGTTCTCTGCAATAAAATCGTTTCGGTATTTTGTTTGGTAGCATTGCGTTGAACATAAGGTTGCAGCTTTTGCGCAGTTTGGATATATCGGTTGGGAAATGAAATCAACTCAACCCCAGATGTTCTTGTGCATGCAAACGGGTGTATTCAGCTCTATGCATGTAATTTTAATTTGAGGGAAAGTTGTTAAGTAATTTTATGAAAGCTTTCCCTCAACTTCAACTTTCTGTTTCTTTCTAACTATTTTCTATCAAACCAAAGTACCAAACACAGCACTAGATTTCTAAAATAAAATAATCTATCCAAGGCTCCAACCTCTTCAAATTAAAGAACTGCGAAATTTGATATATTGTTAATAAATTTTAATGGCCGGAAATGACAAATGAGGCTGTGTTCAATATACATTAATTGGTTCATGGATGGAATTCCTGGGGCTTGAGTCTCCATGTCAAATGATGAAATTAAAGTAGAATATTAGATCAATTTAAATAGGAGGCATTGACTAATTAAACCAGAAAAATATAACTCTAATAATAAAAAACAACCGATTTTATTAACATCCGTCCAAACACCATAAGTTGATTCCACCAAATGGAAGATGTCCAAAGTCAAATTTGCCCAACTTGGACCATCTTCACGAGTTGAATTTTCCAAACACCCCCGAAAGAGCGGAGATCGAAAAAGAAGAATATTTGGCAGCTGGTCTTAATTTGGATATCAGATTATTGACAGCCTTGCAACTGGCCGCTCACTTGGGGCCAACCCTGCTAATACATAGAAATTTCTTAATTGTTGAAGTGATCAGCGAACAAAACAACTACACAAATTCATCAATTAATTCAGAAGGTCCAGGGATGGTGTCTATGCATAACTCATGCATTAACCCAGAATCCAGTAGCAAGTTGCTTTATTTCCATCCTCCGAATTCTTATTCGTTAGTCTTTTCCTCCACATACAACATCCAAATTTCATAAACAAACAAACACCAAAAAGTAAAGATCCTTCAACTCTAGTAGACCCCGCATGTTAAGAGCAACTAAAAGGGGGTGATCATGGACCAGGCCAGGATAGGTTGGATCTGATTAAAGAGCTCTAACCCGGGCCTTAGCACACATCAGCCTAGGCTGGGCTATTAATGATCACCCCCTTCAGGCTTCAGCTAAATAAACATGGAATGCAATTCAGAGTTGAGACTAGAAAAATCTCGAATTAGCGTGGCATACATGATCAAACTAAATTTGTATTAATTTTAGTGGGATAGTGATAAAACCCAGGAAGCAAAATAACTTCTCAAAGTCACAGATGGCGTCGTTGGGTTTCTCAGAGGAAGGGGAGGTAGTTGTTCGGGTGTCCAAAAAGCTGGTCTCCAGGTAAGCGTGGGAGGGGTAGGTGTGAGAGAGAGAGAGACAGAGAGACAGAAAGAATACTTGCTCCGAAGAGGCTTGGTGGGGGGGGAGTTCCAAGGACTTCAACCCAGTGTTTCAGAAATTGTTGAGAAGGGAAAATTAGGCCCCGTTTGGTTCACTGGAATAGGGGTTTGGAATTGGAATCAAAATCGGCTATTCCGATTCTAACTATTTGGTATGGAATTGAAATTCCATTTTCATTCCACCATTCCTGGTGGAATGGTATTCCCCCATTTGAGGGAATGGCCATTCCCTCCCCCTCCCTTGGGAATAATATCCCATTCCTACTGATTCCCATTCTTATATGAATCAAATAAACTATAGGAATAAATCATTTCAATTGTTACTGTCAACCAAATGGACCCTTAGTTGTTTTGGCCTCCTTTCCACGCTGGCTGCTGGGAGACTTTCAGGGAGATGGGCAATTTACTTGGGGGTTACGTTGAGGTAGATCCAAGGCAACCTGATCAGTTGGCAGAAACTTCATTCCATCAATCTAGTGGCTTGGGCGCGTGCGCCTATGATTTTCCGAAGTCGGTTTAGGTAGAGGTGTCAAGGGTTATGTTTGTGGTGAGAGTGTTGGTGGTGGAAGGTCTGGCTTCTCTGTTTGACAAGGGTTTGAAAATTTTAAAATGGTGGTGGTAAAGTCTTGTAGGGATTTGAATGCAGGTGCGTGCCCAACAGAAGAGGTTGCAAGAGTAGAGGCTCCACAATAGCTTGCTTCAACATTGCAAGAGCAAAGCCTCCACAATACTACTACGACCAGGATCTTTTTGTGCCCAGTGGCCATGGAGATAGGCCGAGGATATCTATCCCCCATAGTGTAAAAGGCTACGCACTAGTAAGGTACTGCAGGTCAGTAGTACGTTGTCGAGGTATATTGGCAGGGCGTTGGCAACTGTCATATCGTTGGATGAGCTTGATGGCAGTAACTTTCATCATTGGTCAATAGTAACTGATGAGGGCGGATTTGGCCCTCTAGTGAAATTATGACACCTGGCACCTCATGCCAACTAAGTGTAGCCTCTTGACAACTAGGTAGCTCGCCACTTAGGGGCAGCTCGGCACTTACAGGCAGCCTGGAGTCTTACGAAGAGCTCGCCACTTAGGGGCAGCTCGGCACTTACAGGCAGCCTAGCGTCTTACGAAGAGCTCGCCACTTAGGGGTAGCTCGACACTTACAGGCAGCCTGGCGTCTTACGAATAGCTCACCACTTAGGGGCAGCTCAGCATAGGTAGCTCGCCACCTAGGGGCAGCTCGGCATAGGCAGCTCGCCACAGGCAGCTGGCCACTCCACAGGCAGCCTGGCGTCTTACGAAGAGTTCGACACTTGCTGGCAGCTCGGCATAGGTAGCTCGCCACTTAGGGGAAGCTCGGCGTATCGCAGGAAGATCTCCTGCCTGACAACCGTACCTGACAGATCCAGAGACTAGCA